TAATTAAATAAGATTTATGGATAACATTGAAGCCAGAGCGAGAGCAAGTCAGTTAAATATATACATATAGCATGTACTCAGTTGCAGAGTCCAAAGACTCTCAAAAAAGAAAAACTCGTATCGTCGCTTGCTTTGGCTGTGCGTTCAGATATATACAGCTATATAGCCGACATTTCCACTCCTCTCCTCGTAGGCGCACATTCGGTGTACCCCTTCCACGCGTCTCCAAAATGTGCGCCTATATGGACATTTCCACGCGAATCCACACTTCTCATACCCTTACCGTGCTGCTCAAATAAAAAAAAAATGTTCGCCTGGTTCGGCCGCTTGGCCGCGGCGGGGCGCTCGAACCACTGGAAAAAAGTGGGCACACTGTAGCATGGCAGTCAGCAGATTTAATCCTTTTTTAGATAGCTAGAAAACTATTATTGATGAAGTTAAAAATCAACCAAAAGTAATTTAATAGTACTAAGTTATTTTACACTATTCTAACAAAATGGTTATGATCTCACTTCGATGAGGATCACACCTTTTACAACCTAATTAATAATTGTGTAAGATTTATTCAAACAATTAATTAAACTATTAGAAACCAGAAAAATCCTTGAAAACACTTTTTATCAAATGATTTTTCATTGCTATTCCAAGTTAAACACGATTTTATTGATAAAACGCTTAGTTAACTGGAGAGCAAAGTATGGCATCGCTGAACATAAAGGAAACCATGAAAACATTAGTCAAATAAAAGGCAAGATATTAAATATTGAGGACTTAAAAATGATTATTTCGTAGAGATCAAGTTTCAAGAAGTTACATTAAATATCAGGGCTTACGTTATTATTACTCAATTTTTTATTTTATACGAGGAAAACTCAGTATTTAGCTGTACAAGTATTTAATACACATTTAATGAGTAATATATGACCGGACATATAATAACTGTCCAACATTCAAAACCGCTTTTGAGGGAACATCACATCAGGAATAGATATAGGTATACGCATGCATGCGAGAGCTGCGAGCTGCGAGAGCCGGGAGCCGAGAGCCGAGGCAGCTAGAATACAAAATATATATTCAGCTATACCCGTGTATACGCACATATTCCTTCCCCCTCTACTAGGTACCTATCGTACGCACAATTTGGTCTTCTCCTCCGCTGCTGAAACGTGCGTATAGTTCGGCTGAGTTGCCGCGAGGGGGCGCTCAAAACAGTGGAAAAAAGCGACACACTCTCTACCATTGGCGCTGGCAATCTCCCTTCTAATCTCTCTGGCAGTCAGCAATCTCCCTATTAATCTCTGCTGAGTACTTAACTACTTACTCAGCAATTTACCCTATATAAGTACAAACAAAAGGTATATATTTATACCTAGAAAGAATCAAAGTAGTCAGCTAGTATCCATATATATGTGCATAGAGCATGCTGCTAATGCTGCTATTATGCTGTTAAATAATGTATCCACACATACCGTACCCACATTTCGCTTAACAATAGAACAACTGATTGGTCGGGTTCGCGTCAAGTTGTATTAGTTGTAAAGAGCACGGTCGCATGGGAGCGCTTCAGTACAGTCTGTTGTAGAAATCTATAAATACTAGAAATAGTGAAATATACTGAACTGCAACTGCATGTGGGTGATGGAAGCGGTTAGGCAGAGGTTATGATTAGAGATAGAGAGGGAAATACAGATTCACATGCATCAGCATGCATATACATATTACTGTTTTTGGCTTGTACTTTGTACTTGTAATTTTACTAGTTTGTTCCAAAAATGACGGAACCAATCAGTAAGTTTTGGACTTTTTAGCCGCACTCCGCTTTTATACCCTCTAAAAGAAAGAAAGAAGAGAACGGACTACGGAGTCTACGGACAGTTTCGGAGTTTCCGGACAAATTCGGACAGCAAAGCTGACAGAGAAGCCACTATAGAGAAAGCGAGATAAGAGCGCAGTGCTATACCTATATCTGTATACTAATCTTAATCTCTCTGGATGAACTGGATGAACATTGAACATGAACGATGAACGGTCGAGTCGTGAAACTCGTGAATCGAATCAGCAAATCAGCATCACACATTATACCTATACACTGTACTGTATGTGTATACGTGTATAATGTATACATGCAGACACCTATACCTATATTACCTATCGCTACACTCACCTATACCTATACCTACCTCTAGTGAAAGAAAAGAAAGAGAGAGGGTAAAAGCACGAAAGCAGTGGCGCGCAGTCGACGAGTCAGTCGTGTGTATAGTAGTGGCAACGGCAGCAAGAAGAAGAAGAGCCAAGCAAAGGGCCTCTATCCATCAGATAGCACACGCACGTACCGACTTCGCGGAAGACAATGGTGAGCAGGATGTCCCTGTCAGGGCGACGCAGTGCTGGGTCAGCTCCTGGAGTACCTGAGTTCCCAGCTGACCCGGAGCTCCTGTCGTCTATCTCTGCGTACTGTGAATCCGTGCGCGCGCGCGCGCGCTTTAACCTATAAACCGACGACTAATACCTAACCGCTTGAATTTTCCAGGCTGGTGGCAAAGCGGGCAAAGATTCTGGCAAGGCCAAGGCGAAGGCAGTATCACGTTCAGCGCGGGCAGGTCTCCAGGTAAGTGAATTTTAACGAGTTTTTTGGTACCTCTGCGCTTTATCTCTCATTTTTTCTGCCACCGCTCCCCATCGCGAGTACGTGCATCGCCCCCGAAGAGCCGCTCCGCGCCCGGACGCGTCCCCCCGCGCGCCCTTCCAGACAGAGACGGAGCGACTCGAGGCAATGAAATGGCGCGAAAGCCGCGTGAGATAGCCGCAGCGATGGAGTTTGCGAGTTTCGTGTGCTGCGAGTAACCTTTCTGGGCCTCTACGACCGACGTCGTCGCAGTCCCGTAAAACGGTCTTTGTTTTCGTGGCGCGCTCCAGGCGTTTGATTTCGTACGCCGCCGCCGGCTAACCGGCCCCCACCGACCCCTGCCGACGGTTACTTTAGAAACCCGGATTCCGAAGTAATTACGCCAGGTATCGACCATCCGAGCCGCTCCAGGGTTTCAAGGGTGGTCGAGCTCACGACTTGTCTACTTTTCAGGGTACCTTTCATTTATGATGGTCGTTTAATCGAGCAAAGTTTCGGGTTACTCAGATCATGGCTCTGCGTTTTCCGCCGCATCCCCAGTTCTCGAGGGCCTGGCACCGTTGGCCGCCACCGATGCAGGAGCAACTCGTGAACCTCCTCGTTGAATTATTGAATGTCCAGCTCGGAAGCCTCCTGTCGTTGCTTATTCGAGAGGAAAAGCTGCTGACGCGTTAGTAGTACTCGGCGTACATGGCTTTCGTCCCACGAAGCCTGATGTTTTCGCGTCGGATAGTAGCGCCGCGTTCATTTTCGCAAATATCGACAGTTTCGCCCGCTCCCGCCTTGAATTTCCGTTATATTTATTTTGCTCCGACGTTAGGTAGGTACGATGTATACTTGCTTATTGTTTACCCTGCTGCTTTGGCGGCCATACAAACTTACATTTTCAATTATTAATCATGCCAGTGTAATCTTTCTTCAAGAACTTTCTTTCCTATTAATTTTTTTATGTTTTCACTTCTTATCAGTACTTTTAAAACAATCACCCAATGTATCAACAGGTTGCACAATTTTACATGAATGCAAGCTTACCCATCGTTTTTTGTTATTGTTATTTTTATAGTTTCCTGTTGGTAGAATTCATAGGCATTTGAAAAACAGAACCACAAGCCATGGACGTGTTGGTGCCACAGCTGCTGTTTACAGTGCTGCTATTTTGGAGTATTTGACTGCTGAAGTAAGTACAGCATTATACAGCGGATTTTTAACACAGAAGTCAAACAATCTCTTTTAAACATCAATTATTATGATATTAAAAAATGCAGTTGCACAATCGTAAATATTTTTATTATAACTGAAATTTAAACAAAATCTACAAATTAAGTTATGTATTAACGTTGAATTGTTCAAAGTTTGGCTAACTTGATTTTTTAATTGGCTGATAGGTGCTAGAGTTGGCGGGCAATGCTTCGAAGGATTTAAAAGTAAAGCGTATAACACCTAGACATCTTCAACTTGCTATTCGTGGTGACGAAGAACTCGACAGTCTCATCAAAGCAACTATTGCGGGTGGTGGTACGTTGAATTTATATACCTATTATCAAGTATTGTCCATATCTAGTTTCAATATTTGGTACTAATTAAAATTTTGTTTTGTTACAGGTGTTATACCACATATTCACAAATCTTTGATTGGCAAGAAAGGTTCCCAGAAACCTGCATAAGATTAAATTAATTCTTTAAGTATTTGAATTTAACACAGCAAAGATTTTTGTCAAAAAATCAGTAAGAGAAAAATAAAAGCGTTGGAAATAAAGAAGAAAATATATATTATGGGAGGAACTAGGAAAATCAGTAAGGCAAAGCAAGAGAGCAAAGATAAAGCAGTAATTGTTAAAAAAAATGTATGTACCTACGTTGCTAAGCTGAAGAGACAGGCGTGATATAAATATATATATATACATAGTTATGTATAGATATAAAGTAAACAAGTGATCGACAACGTCATTTAATTAGTTAAATGAGTCTTTTTAACCAATGTCAAGGTTTACTTTTAAATCAGACAATCCTCAAAGTCGATACGTTCTAGCATCGTCTCAAGAATGCCTCGATGTTGATGGAAACCTTGATTTGCTCTAAAAAAAACTCGGCCTCTGCTTTTTCCAGTTCAATGTTTCGACTTTTCAAACAAGATTAAAGATTTTTTACCTAATTTTATCGATTTTTATTAAATAGTATGACATTTTTTGCATAGACATCATCATTGCTAGCTCTTACAATGCCAAATATGTAATAAATTAAGTAGAACATTACTTTTCAAGTTTGCAAATGGTAGTTCCAAATTATTGAATATTTGTTCGTGTGGTTGAAAAAAGTCTCCAATCCTTTTTATGCTAGAATGTTGATAAGCATCTGTTAACTATTATCGATGTTTCTCAATATTTGATTAACTTATTACTGTAATCCTTTGGAAAGTCGATCGTGAACTAAGTTTATTACTAAAATTAAAGAGACTTAAACTACTAACGCTTTCTTAAATTAGTTTCTTTGTCAATTGGAGATTTTTTGAAGAAAATCTAATCCGATATGGTCAACAAAGGATTCATATAAGAGTTGGTTACATCAAGTCAAGATTTTTTGTCTCAATCTACATTATAGAAATTAGTGATCAACACGTGTGAAATTAATAATCATTCATTTAGAAATCCAAACAAGTTTTCTACAGTAAGATTGTTGACCTTCTGGTTAGATTGAGTTTTTGCAATACTTAAAGTTCGTTCATAGTAAAAGATCATTTGACATAGATTTGCTTGTAAAATTTTTTTCTAATTGAATGTAAGATTTGGGTAATGAAAAATGTATGTTGTCTACTTGTAAGTCTGTGAGTTAACAATATTTTTTTCTGTAACCCAATATGAATAGTGTAAAAATTTCGAGAAAGCTACAGTTTTTCATTCATTTATTGTGAATAGTCTCTAATTGTTATGCTAAAATTTAATTAGGTTAAGATAATTGTCCAGTACACTCGCACATATATTATTAAAATGCGTAAAAACAATGCTGGACGTGATTTCCAGTAATATGTAAAACGTTCATTTTCATAATAAAGGTCGATTTTATTAAAGGATTTTTTTCTTTTAACAATTTTAAATTGCCAATACTTATAAACTGGAATTTAAAATACGAAAGTGATTCGCATATCTTTGCTATAATGTAAGTTTCTATAATACATCACGTGTATACTTTAATTTTTCAATTTTCTTGATGTTAGAAATAAATCATATTGTATTATCTCAGTATTCTCTGGGTAACATTTACATCACCAATATATTATATTTTTGCTAGTATGAAACATGTATGATTTAATAAAAAAATTTCTTTTACAAGCAAAATTTTTATGTAGAAATTAACTAAGTATCACCTAAGATGGCTTGTAGAGAAAATGAATTGTAATTATATTTGCACATACTTATGCATGGACCAAAATTAATGCAAGTCGAATTTTTTTGGCTTTTCCTAAGTTCCACCTTGAATATAATACTTGTTTCAGAAATGTTAAAGACGCAACTATGTAGGTAAAGTATCTTTTATTTTCTAGAATTAAAGTTTAATTTCAGATTAATTAATTAGTTAAGGTACATACCGTAGTACTTTAAAATTAAATTGAACATTAAATACGAATTTTTATTTTAATTGTTAAATTAGTTTTCACAGTACAGCCTATTAATGGTTTAAATACATGTAGTTGTATGGAATATGAAAAATTTTTGAACACCGAAGAAGAGAATATAGAAACACGTACATGAAGGGACGTGTTTCTATTCGCTCCGTGCATGACACGCAGCGCCGCCCTCGGTGTCACAATCGCGCAATACCGTACCCCCGTATGATTAAATCGTAACACTGTCGCTTATAGGAGAAAGTATTATTTATTGAATAAGACGTACATACTGCTATCGCGTAAACATCAGCACCCTAAAAAATGGATATGATTATCCAAACAGGCTTTAAAAGTATAAGTTTCAACATAGTTTTTAATAATGAAACGCTGAAAAAAGCTAAAAAATTAGTAGAGAGTGGGCACGTTGCCTACGTACAGGAATATGTAAATAAAGGAGTCGGTCATCTGATGAATTGCTATGTTGTGAGACAAACATCTGTCAGCTTAAATCCATACAAAGTAGAATTATCTGTAAGTACATTATTGCCTATGCTTGACAAATGTAGGTTATGGTAACATATACATAAATGTGTAATTTATTTATCAGATTAACGAAGAGACCGCTGTACCTCCGACGTATGGGGTCTACTTGGGAATTTATACAGCACCACCCCCTGCTTTTCTTTCTTGTTGCAATTAACAACGCAGCACTGTCTCGTGCGCATTTCGTTACTTTGTAAACGTAAACACTGATTCAGATTATACTTACAGCTAGCGGCAGCCTATGTCGACTGCTTGGAGTTCTTGCTCTCACGTATACAACATTACAGATAAGTATGTGTGTTGTGTACTATATGACAGATGATATTTAGTAACCCATTATTTAAAATTTCGGGCGATTTGAAGTGCCTAGCAAAATTATTTATTCGTATTATAGACCCGGTTTGGCTAAATAACATTTTTTTCCGCCTTCGATTTCTCAACTAATTACTTTAAATGAAATAATATCTTTTCTCATATAAGACAACGCTTACTGTACGATTCATGGGGGTACGGGTTCGCCAACTTTGCTCACCTACAGCGCTGCAGTCGTTTTTTTTATCCCCTCCAACCTGATGCACGGAGCGACCTAAGCTACGTACTTACAAACTAATTATCTAGCTGTGTTGATTTTAGTCAAAATGCTGTGCAGAACAGTTTAAACTACATTTTTTTCATTTTGTGCATTATCCTGAAATAATTATTTTCCTACACCTCGGGTATTTTTTGTGACATTTGGATGTTAACACTGCACTCTCAGTAAGAGAACCTCTTCGCACCTTGTGCACATCGAACTAAGGGGTTCTCTCGGCCCTACTGGCGACATGGTGCGGTACCAGGTACGAAATCTAATACATCGGAGATTCGATTGTGGAGCAACCGAGCGAAAACTACCATCTACTCAATGACATCGAACCAGAGCTTTTCTTAGGGGCTGTAAATCAAGTTCTCTCTTTCCCCTCGTGATCAACCACGTTTATCCTTTGGTCCCCTTTCCGCAGAACCACACGCAATTTTTGAACGTTTTTCAAAATTTTTTCATTATAATTCTAAAACTTTTTTCGTTGAAAGCGGCCGTCGATCTCGAAAATCGTATTTGATTTCTAGCCACTTATGTGGATTGACTGTATCAAAGAATGTACGAAGTTTTTAATTAGAATGTTCCGGTAAAAGGACAAACATCATTTTTTGAACAACAGAATATCACGTTTTTCTTCTGGGGATATTCATAATAAATATCCCTATCCCATGACATAGCTTTATTGACGACGCAACCTGCCGATCAGAAATCCAATCAAAGAAGGCTGCAATAATGGGCCCTAGTTTCGAGTGTAGGTGTTGTTGCCTTGGCTAGGTCCGCCCTTACAGCACACTTGGTTAAATTTCCGATCGGGCTTTTACCATCAGACCCTTTTGCCCTCTTCATTAGAGCCATTATATTGGGCAGCCCCTTTATTGATGCGCTATAACGTTATATCACGCAAACAATCACATAATATGTATATGTCAGTAAATCAAGTGATCGTAAAAAAAACGAAAAAAGAAAAAAAAAAAAACGAATTTAGTATCGTATTGGGTACCTGACTTGTACATTAATAATGAAAAAGTGGGTTTTGCATAGCATAGTGGTTTCAAGGTGCTCGAGCGTAAACGATTAGGTGATATTTTCGATCCTGATGCTAATTTAGAACTCAAATGTTGTACATAGTAACGTCCCAATACGCAGATTTTCACTACAAAAGAATTCGTTAAGAATACGCGAATGTCCCTATTAAAAGAATTCTTTTAAAATTCTTATATAATTAAAAAAAAAGACTAAAAGAATTCTCATTAAAGTAAACGAAGTATTCTTTTGGTATTCTTTAAGAAATCTTATGTAGTACTATATACTATAGTATAGAAGTTACACTGAACTTTTTAATGAAAAGAACACTTACAAAATTCTTATGTTGTGAGAAAATATTCATCAATTGCAATAGTATGAATCTTACTTAACACTTTATTGTATTGTTGATGATAAAAAAAATATTTATTGCATCTGGGTGCCAATAATCCGTTTTTACGTCTTTGTTTTATGAATATACGTCATTATAAAATATTTTTAATGAAACAATGATGGAGTCATGAAGAAATATTCTTATTAAAATATTCCTTGCCTGTGACCATCAGGTGATATCTCACCTAAGATCTCAGGTAAGTATCTCATGCCTAAAAATTTAGTTGAAAAATTTACTATCCCCTCAGTTAAGAATTATCAGCTATTATTTTACGTATTAATCATAGCTGTATTTATAGATATAATTGGCTACATTAATAGCTATAATAAACTATAATGTAGCTATTCATGTACAAATAATACCTAAAAAAGTAGCTGTTTATAGCTATCAAAAATAAAATTATAGCTAAAATTTTGAGGGGAAACTCAGTCGAAAATTATTAGCTGTTATTTTACATGTAAATTATAGCTGTATTTACAGCTATAACCCCCTACAATAATTGCTATAATTGACTACAATGTAGCTATAATCATGTACTAAAGATATCTATAAAAAGTAGCGGTTGACAGCTATAAATTTCGGTCAAATTTCAAACAACAAAATTTACGTGATAATCTTTTTTATGTAAGGTATATATCAGTCAACACCTAAACAGGGGGGTTCAAGTATTTTTGAACAATAAAAAAAATGAATACAGTAAATAATGTAAATACCTACCTGCAGATCTTGATGGCCGGATATCGTACTTTAGACAAAAATTTTCTTTCATAAACATATGTGGCTCATTTCACAAATGGTGTGATATTCTATGAAGCCTATGTTTAACAACGACGGATCAAATTATTTTAAGTCAGAACTTTTTTTAAACAGTGTAAGCAAATTTTTCCTTCAAACGTTTTCAAGATCAAGTCAAAAAAATTTTTTGCGTGACCGTAAAATTGAAAAAACAGGCCAAAATATCAGTACCGTAACGCAAAGCATTGAAAAATTTTATTTTTCTACCTTAGGCTACTTTGAGGGTTGGGTGGGCCATCGGTAGGAAAAATAGGGTTTGCACCTGGTGCGCATCCAACCAGGACAAGCACAAGGAGTCCCTCGGGCCTGGTGCTTGTCAGGTGACATGCGCCACTAGGTACGAAAACTACTATTTCCGCCCTCGGGTGGTTTTGGGAGGCTGGTACTTCCTCGGGCGAAAAAGCAGTTTTCCGGAACTCGTTCGAAAAGTCTCCTTTACGAACCTCGTTACGGACCTCGCCTTTGGCTCGGGCCGCAAACCTCTCGGTTCGCAAACAAAGACTTTTCAAACTCGTAGGAAAACTACCATTTCCTCCTTTCTGGCGGATAGTAAGGGCCGAAAGTACTTTCAGTGCCTTTTTTACGGGTGGAAAGTGGAACCTCCCGCCCACAAATAAGAAAAATGAGTAAATTTTGTAATTGGTGATGCACATTATAAATATGTAATATGCAACATCTTTCAAATGTCTTTCTTTGTACATATTTAAAACAAGACTTGATTATTGTATGAAATTCTATTACATATTTTCCTGCATAGTGTGCGGCAAATGTTTTTTCATCATACTGCGCCAAAAGTTTCTACTTTCGGCGCAGGATTGATGAAAAACAGAATACGCACCACGTTCGGAGGTTAAGAAATGCATTAGATTTCACGTTAACCACCCTCTGCTTCACCTCGGGCGTTTATTCTGGTTTATTCACGTGAAATCTAAGACATTCTTAACCTCACTCACTAGGTGCGTAATATACTATTCCACACACTGAAAAAAATTTTGCTACACACCAGAAATCTCTTGGAAAACGAATTAAGATACCGTCTGTGTACAACTATCGTAACCCTATCCGGTGTAATTTTCTACTCTCAAATGAAATTCCTTCTTAATGAGTTTTTTTTTATCATTCCATTATACT